GTGAGCAGAGTAAACAGGAGGGGGCTCAACACACATCCCTGAGGAGAGCCAGTGCTGAGGGTTATGGTGGAGGAGGAGAGGTTGTGGATCCTCACTAACTGTGGTCTGTTTGTTAAAAAGTCTAGTACCCAGTTGCAGATGGAGGGGCTTAGTCCTAGTGTGGATAGTTTGTCCATCAGGGTTTGGGGGATCATGGTGTTGAAGGCGGATGTGAAGTCCACAAAGAGCATACGGACGTAAGAGTTTTTCTGCTCCAGGTGGTTGAGTGCAGTGTGGACCACAGAGGAGATTGCATCCTCTGTTGATCGGTTTTATAGCCTTTTGCTACTTTTAGATTCTAGCTACAGTTTTGCTACTTTCAGCTCTTAGTCACCTTATCTAGATAGCATTTTGCTACTTTTAGCTAGCCTTTTGCTACTTTTAGCTAGCCTTTTGCTACTTTTAGCTAGCCTTTTACTACTTTTAGCTAGCCTTTTAGTACTTTTAGCTTCTAGCTACAGTTTTGCTACTTTCAGCTCTTAGTTACCTTATCTAGATAGCCTTTTACTACTTTTAGCTTCTAGCTACAGTTTTGCTACTTCCAGCTCTTAGTTACCTTATCTAGATAGCCTTTTGCTACTTTTAGATAGCCTTTTGCTACTAAAACTGTTATTTTCTGAGATAATAAAACCTGAATGCTGAGTTCTGAATGATTCTGCAGAAAGAGTTGTTATTGCTAAAAGAAGCAGAACATCAGCTAAAAGCTACGCGTTTGATAGTTGTAAGAATAATAAAAACACCAGAAGAGTTTGCTCTCACCGTGGATTTCCAGGAGGTTTTTGGACCCGGCTCGGCGGTGGAGCTCGTCGATGTTCTGGGTGATGACGGTAACCTTTCGGCCTTGTTTGCTGAGGCGCTCCTCGCATTCGGCAACGGCTAGGTGGGCCGGGTTGGGGTTTTTAGTGAGCATGACTTCCCGGCGGTAGTGATAGAACTCCCAAACTCGAGATGGGTTGTGGGAGAAGGCCTCTGGGGTGGCCAGGTCCTGCAACAAAGCAGAACACAGGGCTATTCAACTGGTGGCCCAGGGGCCAAATCAGGCCCACAGGTGCGCTCGGTTCAGCCCACCAATGGGTTCATTTTTACATCAAACTAGATTTTAAACCATAAAAGTAACTTCCTTAATGACTAACTGCTGGATGACCGGCCCCTGAGCTCTTGGCTTTCAGTAACTGTGGCCCCTGAGATATTTAGTTGAATATCCCTGCCATAATATATTAATCAGAGACTCTTAGAAATAAAAACACCTAAATGGCCACCGTAGCTAAACGACCTTAGAAACATTAAAATTAACGCTGCCGTTCAAAAAGGTATGGAACTAAAATGTGGTGGGCAGTAGCTGAGAGTCATCCCCATCACGTTCTCCGAGCGCTGGGAGATTACGCAAGAGCTTTATTTAAAACATGCACGTTAATGGGTGACAGGCATCCATTTAAGGCTAAATGGGAAATTTCTGATTCAACGTCCACATTTTAATTTTCCGTTTCTGTACTTTTATTGCATCCTACCTACTTCTGCATATTTTGAGCTACTTTAACCGTTTACATGTCAAATGGGCAATAGTTTTTGTAACTTTTAGGCTTTTCACAGTTTATTTTCACCATACATTAAAATTTCTTCCTTCAAATTCAAAACACTTTATGCTTCAGCACATTTTCGTCTTCCTATGCTCCCATTAGTTGCCATTTTGCTCCTCCGAGCTAAGGTTTTCTTAGTTTTCGCTTTTAGCTGGCATTTAGCTTGTTTTAGCTGGCATTTTTCTTTTCGCTTTACAATTTCTGCTTTCTCAGCATATTTCAGCAAAGTCAATCAGCGATCAGCTAAGTAAACGGCCATCATCAGCTAATTAATCTTTTCCTTTTTGGGAATCCAACATTCATACAAACAAACACTTTTCTTTACTGGACTCAGACCAGTTAGGGCCCACCTGTGCGCTCCATTTCCTCCAGTAGCCTCCGGCACCTCTGAAGGTGGGAACTCCGCTCTCGGCACTCACTCCCGCTCCGGTGATGATGGCGATGCTGTTGGCTTCGGAGAAAATCTCCCTGAAAGCTGCCATGTCTGGACACAAACGCAACAACACCGAGACGCTCCACTTGCAGACACAGGAATTTGAAAGTAGCAACTGGGGGAGAATGTTGTTAAATTGGGGGTTGGTTTACCTGAGCTGGGTCGCGCCATGTCTTGGGTCCGCTTCAGCTTTCTCAGGTGAGTGGTTAGAACGGCTCTACGGATGAACTGGTGCACAGTCATTGACTTTTAGAGACTGGGGAAGAAAAATATCACATTATACATGCTTTAAAGCAGATTTATAGATTACACTGTGAAACACTGCTGCTCTTAGATTTGAGGCTTTTGACCATTTTTGGCTTAACAAAAAAAAAAAAGAATAAAACTGAGAAAAATTGTTTATGTGAAACCTCTTAATTTTGTAAAAAATGAATTTCTTCAACACTAAAAAGTTTAGGTCTGTGCTCAGAACCTGTTATATAAAAAAAAGAGGTGGGTGCATGAATTAGAGTGAAATGCAAACCAGGAAAAAATGGCAAGTGTTGGAGAATTACCTCTTTAAAATTAAACCTAAATTTGGTTCTAAACTAGTAAGAAACAAAATGTGAGGTAGTGTAAGGCTTCTGGACGGTTTATTGTTTAAAATCCAACTCTGTAAATACACAGGTAGCCTGTTAGTTGTGTTATAATGACAACATGTGCAGATGAAAACATTGCAAGAGTTTTGTTTTGCAGATGAACCTTATGACTGACAGCATGCTGCTTTCAATGACCAGCTCCAGGCTCGGATTTTTCCCTACCACCGAAGGAAATTAAAAAGAAAAAGACTAAAAACGTCGGTTTGTTGCTCTTATCTCAACTCAGATCAGATTTAATTTACTCCTGCAATGAATTTAATTAACCAGACGCACAGGTAGCTAATTAAAAAAAGTTTGGTTCGTTACTTACGATCTATTGAATTTCCGTAAATAGGTTCTTATTCCGTAACTAAATCAGTTAAAAATGACTATAAATTGCCAGATGAAGTTTTGTTCCTTAACAATAATAACCATGCTCTTCTTAGAAAAGTCCAAAGTTTTCTAGTTGAGTCCTAATCTCAAAGTTTCGATGCTCCCAAAACGCAGCATAAAACAATGCTACTAAAGGCTAAGCTAACAGCCTGAGAGTCCCGTGCGCTGCAACTACAAGTTAGCAAGCCGCTGCTAACCAGGTAAATCCACATTAATACGGTTGATCCGAGTGTTTTTATCGTATCTGAGGTCTCTTGTCGATCTATACCTGTCAAGCCCAGACCTGAACCTTCAGCTGCAGCAGGCAGGAAGTCGAAACGTGTTTTCCTCCTCCAGAATGGATCAGCTGGGAGGACATGAGCCAATGAACGAAGGCAGCCAGGTAAAGGGCAATATTTAACATGACCGGCAGAGGGCGCTGTTGACCCACAATGTTAAGATGAGGGAAAACTGCAAATTAAACTATGCATTGAGGTATGGGAAATAATTTACCAGGACTCGAAAAAATATTTATCCAACATGAACTTTTCCACATTTTGTCACGTTACAACCAAAAAGTATTAACACTCTCCATGCCCTGACTGTCAATTTAAACATTATATGTTTTAATTCAATAAAACCTTGAATATTTTTTTCTTCCAATGCAAAATTCATGCACTACTTTGCGTTGATCATGTAAAATCCCAGTAAAATACTTGGAAGTTTGTGGTGGAAAAGTTAAAGCTGTATGAATATTGTACTTTTACATTTAAGCTATATTTTTCCTGTAGAATTTCTCCCATCAAAATAAACTTTTTTAGTTAAAAAAAAAAAAAAAAGGCACTCATCCCTCCAAATTTCATTACACATGTGTTCAGAAGTAAAGTATTCTAAATCTAAAGACAAATATTATAGTATTTATAATTTTATGGCTATAAATGGCCAGGACTGCTAACTAGTTTCATGTAATTTAATTAAAAAAAATGTAACCTGTTTATAGTTAATCAGAAAATAACGCATTTACACAATTTGTCACATTTTCTCTTAAAAATAAAAGCTAAGGATTTTCTTTTCTTTTCTTTTTTGTTGTTGCGTTTGTTTTTTTGTGGAAATAATTACTTTTTCTCAACCTGAAGCTCTTTGTTGGGGGTCAAAGTTGTTTTGCTTGTGTCGCAACAACTCATCTTCAGAATGCTGTGGAGTTTGGGAGGGGAACCCAGACCTCCCTCCTCCCAGCGACACTTTCAGACTCATCCTGGGGGACCTCAAGGCCTTTCCAGGCCAGAGAAGATATAAAATCCCTCCAGAGTTCTTGGTCTGACCGCCGAGGTCTATACATGTCCAAAAACCTTCTGAGGCGTCCAGGAGGCATTCTGATCAGATGAACCACCTCAGCTGACTCATTTTGATGTGGAGGAGCAGCAGTCAGCTCCCCCCAGATGATGGAGCTCCCCACACTAAGGTTGAGCCCCCCACCCTAAGGAAGCTCATTTCAGCCACTTCTATCCAGGATCTGTTTCTTTTGGTCCTGATTTGAACCTCATGACTACAGATGAGGGTTGGATAGACAGACCAGTAAATCCAGAGCTTTGCCTTTTCAATCAACTTCTTTCTTCACCACGACTGACCAAAGCAACACTCTCAATATTGAGGATGAGGCGCCCCAGTACTTGAACTCTGACTCAGGAGAAGACCTATTTCTGGTTGAGAACCATGACCTCAGACTTGGGTGATCTGACTCTCATCCCCGCCTGCAAACCGACCCGACATGCTGACGGTCGTGGCCCAAAGACGCCAACAGAACCACATCGTCTGCACAAAGCTGAGACGAGAGGTTCCTGAACCAGACTCGTCTCCAGTCAATGAAATCTCATCATTTATGAATTAAGCATTTATTTATAAAATGAATGAATCATTTTAATCGTTGGTGTCATTAGTTAAATATCTAACCACTCGTTCAAAACAGGCTGTAATTATCTGTTAATTACTTTCATTAATTAAAGTTGATTCATAAAATTAATTATCAACATCATGTTGCGTTCAGGCGCGTCAGTAAATGATGCGTTTGTGGTCCGTTTAGTTAGGCGCCTCAGAGGAAGCCTCCCATCTTTCTTCCCCCTCTCCTCCTCCTCCAGCACCGCCTCTCCTGGCGCGTGCACGACCGACTGGCTGCTGCTGCGGCGCCGCGTCTCGCCTCAGTCCCGCCGCTCCGTGGACGCCGCCCGGCTTCTCGCCCCCCCCGGAACATGGCGGCGGCGGCCCCCCAGGAGGAGGTGGACCGCAGACCGATCCGGAGGGTCCGGTCCAAGAGCGACACCCCCTACATCAACGAGGCCCGGATCTCTCTGCACCTGGAGACAGGTAGGAGCGGGCAGGCTGCCGCGCGCATCGCGCGTGCTCTCCGCAGCATTCGCGGCGCGTCGGTTCTGGACGGGGGATGAACGGTTCTGTGGGTCAGGGAGAGGTCCCGGTGGTGCAGGATGATGGAGGTGATGTGGGGGAGGAGGACCACTGTGCGCTGCGGTGCCACGCTGCGTGAACTTGGGCTGCTCGCGTTAAAAACGCGCGTGCTTTTATTAGGAATGGATGCCAACCCTCCCCGAGCTCAGCCAGCCTGCAGGAAAACAGTTTCTTTTGTTACTATGGTCACGGCGGCACGCCTGTTTGATCAGCATCCTTCACGTGAAGGCGCGCGTGGCTGCTGAACGCGTCTCATCATCAGAGCCACAATCACGATCATCGCTGTGGTTTTTTGTCCCGCAGGGTGTTGCATCAAACGCTCCCTCCTCCAGAGCTGTGGCTGGTCACGTGACACACACGCGCACGCGCGCCACCTTTCCTGGCAGAGTTTCAGACTAAAATGAGCTACTGTTGGAGTTAAAGATGTTTCAGTCAAACCTTTAGGGATCACTCCCAGCTACTACCACATGCATCACTGCGATGAAGCCATTTATGCGTTGGCTGCGGCGGCCATCTTGATTTGGATTGACTTCAGAAGTTTAACCCAAAGCTTATGTTCGGGTAAATGTTTTAACATTCATCAAGAGGTTTGAGATATTTAAGCAGAAACATGATCAGGTGAGTCCTCATCTGTTTGATGCCCCTCTCAGACCTCATCCAGACCCTCCTCTCTGCCAGCTGACCTTGGTGACCCCCAGCAGCTCCTCTCAGGCACCTCAGAGCCGCCTCTCTGGTTTTTAGTGTCGGTTGAGTTGAAGGAAGCTGCTCAGGTTTTTGTGTTCACTTCTCGTCCGATGTTGGTGTTTCTGTCAGTTTTACATTTTCAGTTCAGGCTTCTTTGTCACTCACCTGTCGGCCATTTGCAATCATCAGCTCACCTGCTTCCACTCGCCCATCACTTCTTACTCCCTCTCAGTTTGTTCCTCGTTGGCTCGGTTGAGTCACGCAACAGATGAGGAGGAGTTCCTGGTTCAACGTTCGTTCAAGTTAGCAGGCTAACGGTTCATCCATACGAGTCTCTGAGGAGTTGAACCGCAGGTGCAGACACAAGGAGCGCAGGGTAAAACAAAAATAAACTTATTTATTTAAATAATCAAAAACAAAAAGATGAAGTGGCAGCAGAGAACTGGGGGAGACACGGGTTCAGAGCGTGACTGGCAGATGAAGCACAACCCACGGAGAACGAGACGATTATTCAAAGACCAAAACTAACAAGAAGGAATGACAAGAGCTGGAAACACGGGAGAAAAACTGATACGCAGAATTAAATAAAATAATCACAAGTAGACTCAAACACCACAAAACACAGATTATGATAATCCAGAAAAATCTCTTTTTATAGTTTTTTTTTTTTAAATATAGTTTAATCTGGATGTTTCCATTTTATTAATTGTTGAGCCTTAAAATATCATACAGGTCCACAAATGGAGAAAATAAATAAATAGGGATTTAGCGGTGATTGTCTTCCATTTATAAAATTAAAAAAGGCAGGTACTGGGTTGCAAAATTGACAAATATTTATACAAAGTTATTTTAAAGATAGGAAAAATTGTTTGAGTCACTGCAAATATTGAGATGTCAAAATTTATAATGTATCGAGCTCAGCATTTAATAAATAAGTTTTTACATTGATGAACCCATTTTTAGATATTATGGTGGATGAAAGAACAGACGGATGAGTGTTCCTGACGGGAACCAGAGGTTTAGGACTAACTTGACCCTCTGGTCCAGGTGTCCTCCTGATGCTGTCAGATGGTGGGATCTGATGCAGGCCCAAAGATCCAGGACTGAACGGAGCCGTGCTCCAAGCGACCTCACAGCAGTTTGAATAAAATGCTTAAATTCTGATTAAGTTAAAGTAAATTTAACAGTTGCATTAAAAAAGCAGATGATCTTTCTGTCTCATAAAGTGAAGATGTTCCTTTAAAACGTGATCAACCTCTATTTTTTGGTGCCTGTCACAATAACAAATTTTGCTGGGCAATTAATTGTCTCAGAAATTATTGCGATAAACAATAATATTGTTTGAAATTTGACAATAATTATAATTATTGTCAATTTTAAGAAGAAATGTTGGTTAATTTGTTTTGAGTGTAGTACATTTTTTGACCACCGGATAACAGTATAAGTCTTTTTGTACCGAAGGATGGATAGTGAGGGAGCGAGCGTGTCTCTTTAAGAAAAATGGGAGGGAGGCCCCTTGACGTGACATGGGCTGTCTCTCTTTAGTTCTCAAAATGGCGGACGCTCGGTGTGGTTTGAGCTCTTTATCGTAGCATTTTTCACGCAAAGCTTTTAATAAAAACCACAAGTTCTCGGCTTCTTTTTGCAGAGAAAAACAACTTTTTACACAGACACGGGTTTCAACCGTGAATTCTGAAGCTTCGACAAGACGGAGGTTTTTTCCCCCCGAGGTTGGCCTGTTAGCTTAGCTCGTAGCTTAGCTTCTCAGCTTAGCTGCTTTTAACGATCCGAAAACGCGATTTTGGATCGTTAAAACAGATTTTAAAGAGAAGGGGAGGGGTCAGTGAAGAGCCTTTTGTCATCCAGTGTCTTCAGTAGAAAGAGAGAGACATGAAGAAACGATAAAGCCGATGAATGAAAATGAGGTCGATAATTTTCATTTATCATGCGATTAATTGATTTATTGTTTATCGTGACAGGCCTACTGTATAATATCATTTTAGAGAGCAGAATTGAAGTATAAGCTATAATTCTCAATTTGTAAAAGTAATTTCATGAAAGAGACACAGACTCCGACCCGCCTCGTCAGACTATCTTCACAGCTGTCAGTCAGTTCTAACAGAATAAATATTAAACTTTATTCTTTTAAGATCCACGTTTAAACGCTCGGAAACACCTTTTTCAAACAAACTGAACATCTGCCATTCTTCCACATCAGCGTCCTTCTCATCCTGGATCTGTTTTTGTGAAACTCTTCACCTGTTTTTATTTATTATTAAACTCGTTATATTTCAGCGCGCTGCACTCTTGGGTCGTCTCCCACCAGCACTCGTTCTCACGGCTGCAGCACGTCCGTCACGGATCATTCCTCTTCTTTTTCTCGTTTATTTTAGGTCACCTCTTAAGACATCTGCCGCCCACTCGCATGTCTTCCACTTGCTGCTGTTCTGCATAAATCCAGCCCACTCCTCTGTTTGATGTGCGCCACCGTTCACATGACGGCTTTTCATCGTGTGTGCTTAGCATAGTAAACGAGAGTTAATCGCCGCTCGTTGCTCGCTTTAGCCGAAACTTCTGCCGCCACATTTCATCCAGATTTTTATGAATGGAATTAATTGTTTCTGTACAAATTTATCCTGAAGTTTGGTGAAACTTATTTGTAGAATCTCCCGGTCCACATTACCATGTTCTGTTTGTCGTTTCCTTTGTGGTTTAGTTTTTAAGGTTTGTTGTTTGGGATTTATGTTTGTTCCCCGAGAGTTTGGTTCGCAGTACCGGTAGTAAGTCGGACCCCTTCAGGGTGGGAGTTGAACTCCACCAGGGCTGCCCATTGTCACAGATTCTGTTCATAACTTTCATGGACGGAACTTCTCGGTGCAGCCAGGGGGAGGAGGGAGTCCGGTTCGGTGGCCTCAGGATTCCATCTCAGCTCTTTGCAGATGATGTGGTCCTGTTGGCGTCATCGTGCCGTGATCTCCAGCTCTCACTGGAGCGGTTCGCAGCCGAGTGTGAATCGGCTGGGATGAGAATCAGCACCTCCAAATTTGAGGCCGTGGTCCTCAGTTGGGAAAGGGTGGATTGTTCTCTTCAGGTCGATGGTGAGGTTCTGCCTCAAGTGGAAGAGTTCAAGTGTCTCGGGGTTTTGTTTACGAGTGAGGGAAGAATGGAGCGTGAGATTGACAGAGTGAATGGTGCAGCATCTGCAGTATTGCGGACTTCGTACTGGTCCGTTGTGGTGAAGAGGGAGCTGAGATGTAAGAAGCTCTCTGTTTACCAGTCAGACTACGTTCCTACACTCATCCATGGTCATGAACTCTGGGTAGTGACAGAAAGAAAATCCTGGAGGAGGTTGAAATGAGATTCCTCCGCAGGGTAGCTGGACTCTCCCTTAGAGACGGGGTGAGAAGTTCAGTTATCAGGAGAGTCTCGGAGTAGAACCGCTGCTCCTCCACATGGAAAGGAGCCAGTTGAGGTGGTTCTGGCATATTGGACTGGGAGGAGACCCCCGGGAAGACCCAGGACACTCTGGAGAGACTACGTCTCTCGGTTGTCCTGGGAATGTCTTTGAGTCCTCCCAGAAGATCTGGAAGAGGTGGCTGTGGAAAAAGGTGTCTGGACCTCCCTGCTCAAGCTGCTGCCCCCGAGACCCGACTTCAGAACGAGCAGGAGATAATGGATGGATGGATGGACAGATGTTTGTTCTTCATGTCAACTTTACCTTTGTTTTGGTTGAATGTGTGAAAGAAAGGTAACATATTCCTTAAAAAAAGTTTATTCATGACAAAAGTTTAAACCAGATGTTACACTGTCTGTTTGGGCTTGCAGTGTGTGCTGAGGATCACTCGTAGCTACTACTACACCAAGTTTGAGCTAAAATTCACCCTGTTATGGTCATTTTTCTGTTTCTTCAGGTTCATTGGCTGAATGGGCCATTCTGTGTAGATGTACAACATGTTACATTATTGCTCCTTGAGAGGGAGATTTGTTTCAAATTCTATGTTTGGGACTCTTCGGCTTGTTTCCGTTACATTCAGTCAGTGGATCCGGGTCAGCTCGGTGAGAGCCGAGAGGCCAAGATGCTCTCATTCAAACACAAAGCGTGCAGACTCCGTCCTGAACGAGAAGCTGAGATGGAGAGAGAGAGAGAGGACACATGAGGAGGGAGAGGAGGAAAGAGGGTGAGGATGAAACTTCCACGAAGCTCCGGCTGAGAACAA